GTCTGACTGGTGACCACATTGGTCACTAATAAGGGGAAGTAGGGGGAAAACAGTAATGATGTTGTGAGCTAAATCTGACCACATTCAATAGATTCCTGTCAACCTCGGTTGAGACCTGGTTGGCCAGCAGTATGGCAAGACCTGGGGACTCCTGGGCCCAGAGACAGTGATATGGCCACAGAGGACTAGAGCGGAGAGTGAAATGTCCAGCTGATATGAAGTGAAGGGAGACGCACAAGAACACCCATACTTGCAGATAGTACTTGACATGGTTTCAGTGGCTGGATGATCAGCACTTGACTAGAAGAAGAAAAAAGAGGATCAAAAGAGTAATCTGATAAAATTTGATGAACTTAACCTGTGGATGTAGAAGCTCTAAAGAAAGAACAAATCTTCACAGCGAGGATCATTCCCACTCCCTCAGCACACAGAGTACACAGGGATGGGCAACTTAGACATTGGCTACCCAAAATGAGGTGGGGAGCTACAAAGGCAAGATGTGACTGGCTTACAAGCTTTCAAGAGGGAGCCTAGTTCCAGAGGGTGCAGGGGAATGTTGAATCTCCAATGAGTCATTTCCAATCTGTCTGGACGGGGCAGCTGAAAGGAGATGGGGAAAAGACTCTCGTGGTACAATAGTGAGTAATTGCTATCAGGACTGACTGTGAGGGTTGGAAATGTAAAGGTAGACATTTTGTAACAAAAGGAGGGGAGTGGTTATTCAGCAGTCCAGGAGCAGAGGTGCCTGAGACCATCAAGGGAGAAGAGCAGAGTGCAGGACCCTACCCAGAGAAGCAGTGACACCAGAGATGGAGGCAGAGAAGATGAAGTGAAGAGATGGAGCAGCTGGGGACTCTAGACCCAGGGAGGGAGAGAAGCTGTGTGCTTACAATAGGGAGGCAGGCTTGGGGGTGGGGGTGTACCCTTTGATTGTTTTATGATGCATGGAGGAGATTGTAATCATGACAATGAAACGAAATACAATGGAATGAATGTAAAGCTAATGTTCTCCCATGTAAACTATCACATAATTCACAATAAAAAAAGAAAAAGGAGGACACAGGATGACTTTTGTTGCAGGGAAGGGAGTGTAATCATTGAGATGAAACAAAATGTATGATTGGTTGAAAGTAAAGCTGATGATTTTGTCTGTTAACCTTCACTCAATTCACAATAAAAATTTAAAGAAAAAAAAAAGTGCTGAGAATTTTTCTATAGATAAATGGCAGATATTCTTCAACAATAGACCATCTCATCTATCTGTATTATTGTTGTTTGTTGTTAAGTGCCATCAAGTCAATTCCGACCCATATCGACCCTGTATAGGCTTTGCAAGGAGCAGCTGGTGAGCTTGAACTGCCAGCCTTTCAGTTCAAATGGCTTTGCAGTCTGGTGCATTAACCCACAGTCCCACACCAGGGCTCCATCTATATTGCTGGGTATATAATGTAAAAGTGGAAAGGATCTTAGCAAATATTTCAGCCTACTCTTGGAGCTCTGGTAGTGTAGTGGTTACGAATCGGGCTGTGAACCACAAGGTCAGCAGTTTGAAACTACCAGCTGTTCCGTGGGAGAAAGATGAGGCTTTCTGCTCCGATAAAGACTTCCAACCTCGGAAACTCTGTACAGGGTCGCTATGAGTCAGTTCCGACTCCACAGCACATAACTACCACCACTCCCTCAAAATAAAGATGAGAAAAGTAAATCTTAGAAGTTTGGCAGATAGATAATGAAAGATGATGAAATGGAATTAGTCAACAAATGTCTATTGAATTGTATTAAATGTACTAATTTTCTATTTCTAGGTCCTCTGTTCATTACTACATGTCATCTCTACTTTAAACCACATACAGAAACCCAACAGTCAATTTAGACTCATGGAAAGATTGCTTTCTATCCTCAGGGACTGATACAGCACCAACAAGGCATTACTATAAACCTTTTGGGATCTCTGGATGGTATAGATGGTTAATATATTCAACTACTAATTGAATGGTTGGTGGTTCAAGTCTACCCAGAGACACCTTGGAAGAAATGCCTGGCAATCTATTACTTCAGAAAAATCAACCACTCAAAACCCTGTGGAACACATGGAGTTTCCTTCAGTCATAGTCAACTCAATGGCCACTTTTCTCGTGTGAGCCTTTTAACAAAAGGCTGTGAGAATCATAGTACACAGTTTTATTTCCTTGTTCATGAGCTCCTTCATAATTCTTTGTTATACCACCTTTTCCATATGAAGTCCTAAAAAAGGATCATTTAGGATTTGAAGAAAAGTTAGTGTCTTGCTCACTCACAGCTTCCTTCACTCAAGCAAAGTTTATTTTTTACTTTCTCCATCACCAAATACCTTTCTCTGTCTCCAGACCAACCTTCCATGATTATCACCATCTCCTTTTCTGAAGGAATAATGAGAATGGGGTAGTGTTGCTATCTGGCCTCTTGTCTACTCTAGTACATTCATTAGCTGTCTTATGGAGGTAGTATTCAGAAGGGATGGATATATGCTTCTCTATCCTTTGTGACGATATGAGGATACAATTCTGACCAGCCTTTACTACTTGTTTCCTTTCACAGAGATGTAGGGTAAAGTCCAGCTTGTACCACAAACACACTGTGACTTGTGGACGTGTGAACTACAGGAGATATTAGAAACCATTGAGCCCAACAACATGATCCTCCCAGGAATACTTTCTAAAATATCCTTAATAGAGAGGGGATTAAATTTATGCTTAAATATTTCCAGTAATTAATTGCTCACAGCCTTACTTATGTGAATGTTCTTTAGTTTAACAAATTAGAAGATGTATATTATAATTAAATGAATTGTGCTTGTATCTTCTTCATCAAGAAATGCTGATTGTTTTTAATAAAAAACAAGCATATAGCATCCCAAGTCTTGGTTTGGCAGTTCTATTTGAGTAAAGTATGAGTGTGTGTTTTTTAAAACCCAAAATATAAGCAATATATCAGCCTGCATAACATAAGAATTTCCAAATTTAGATTATATAGTTGATTTATTCTTCATTTTCTGTTCTTGTTAAGTCATAGAATGGAAAAAAAGGAGGGAGAGAAAATGTTTTTTTGCAATTTCAGATTGAAAACCAATTTATTAAAGTGAGGTCATGGGGAGTCCTGGTGCTACCAGTTAATGCACGGGACTGCAAGATCTGAGTGAACCACAAGGTTGGCAGTTCAAGCTCACCAGCTGCTCCTCGGAAACCCTGTACAGGGTCATTATGAGTTGGAACTGACTTGAAGGCACTTAATAACAGCATGGGAGTCCTGGTATGGCAGCGTAACATAAGCACTGGACTGATATCCACAAGTTTGGCAGTTCAACCCCTCCAACCGCTCCTACGAAACTCTATATAGGGTGGCTATGAGTCAGAACCGACTCCACGGCACTTACCAGTAACAATATCAACCAACACATGATTTACTGTTCAGGTTCTTTTCAATTATTACTTCATTGCATAGATAAACCAGGGAACAGAGGAGATAAAGCCATTCCATGTATCTGTTACTTTCTTCCCTTGCCAACTCTCTTGCTGTGGTCAGAAATTCTATGTGCCCTGAAAGAGTGTCTAAGTCACAAAGAAACTCCACCATCTACTCTGGCAAAATCACAAATGGAATAATTTCCTTTACTTTCTTCACTATATACATTCTTTAATAGAGGAAAAAAGTACAAAAAAAATTGTTAATCAAGTAACCTTTTTCTATTTATTTGCTATGCATTTTTATACTATCAGTAAGCTTTATCCTTGAAATTACCTTGACTGTATGTTGTTATAAAGTGCCATCGACTTGGCTTAACTTATAGTGACACTGTATAGGGCTTCCAAAGGGTGACTGGTGGGTTTGAACCACCAACCTCGTGGTTAGTATCTAGTGCTTATCCGACAGTGCCACATCAGGACTCCTTGACTGTATTATAGTTACACAAGAAATCCCTCAATTACATACATGTTAAATGACAGCATCAATGGATCTATGGAGGCCTGGTGTGGCACTGTAGGATAAGCACAGGACGACAAGGTCTGTTTGAACCACAAGGTCAGTAGTTTCAACTCACCAGCCACTTCTCAGAAACCCTATACTAGGTCACTATGAGTTAAAACCAACTTGACAGCACTTAACAACAAAAAATCTATTCATGTAATACACTCATCCATGTGATAGATCTAGGAGTTGAATATTCTGTACGTCATTTCTCTATTTTACTTGGTGATGTGAAATTTGATATCATTGCCTACCTTGATCCAAGGAGTTTTGGTGTGGCGCCGTGGGTTAATGGGCCAGACTGCAAAGCCATTTGAACTGCAAGGTTGGTGGTTCAAGCTAACCAACTGCTCTTTGGAAACCCTACACAGGGTTGCTACGAGTTGGCACTTGACAACAACTGACTCAACAGCACTTAAAAACAACAAATTCATAAGGGAAATCAGCAGTTGGTTAAGAAAGTGATGAATTACATATTATCATGTGCTTGTTTCTGAATATTAGACCTGTTAGCCAAATGCTTCTCGTAGCTTCCAAAGTGGCAGAAATTGTGGTGCGCCTGGGATCCAGAGGCACTGTAGTGATCTGCAGAAGATACATAAATCACAGGGTATAGTCATTTAATTTGGCCCTGTGTGATTTCACTGGCTTTACTCTGGGTGACAAGGAGTCTGCACCAGGATCCTCTCCCTGCTGCTCTTTGATGCCTTTGAGGTGCTGCCCATCTAGACCAGTCCCTGCCTCAATTTCACACACTCCCCTAATAAAGTCCTCAGGGGTTGCCATGTATTTTCATGTATTTGCTCTATTATCCCTCTCTGCTTGAGTCTTACAGATAATTGATGATGCTTCTGTTAATCATCTTTCCTTCTCTTTTGTTCACCAGGTACCTCGCCTTGAAGGGCCTCCTTTATTGAGAATCGATGTCTCTTCCTAGGTAATTGATCATTGTAGACCCAGGGACACTGATTCATCATTGAGGGAGGGTGATCATCATGAATATTCAAAAGGCTGTAGCTGCGATACTGCAAGAGTGCAAGCAAATACTGGACCAGCTCTTGTTGGAAGCATCAGATGTGTCAGAGGAGGACAAGAGCAAGGACCAGCGGTGCAGAGGTGAGGTCCTGATGGGTGATATCAGGGGTGAGCCAGCAGGTTCATGCTCCTCTCCCCTGCCTGAATGGCACGTTCTCATCTCTGCCCTATTTTTCTTCTCTTGGCAGATGACCACCGAGAGATGAGTGGATTTCTAGGGCATGAATGGGACATGGGCTGCGGGGTGGACAGGCAGGGGAGGAAGCCCACTTTGTTGCAGTGAATTGCTGTCAGTTCTAATTTTAAGCTTCAGTAAACATGAGGCTACAAGAAACAGTTTAGTTCAAGTAGAACAAAGGGTCCAAGTTGGCTGGTGCACGTAAATTTCAATTATTAAAAAATTGAAGCAACTTCTGAATGGTGGCACATATTTTTTTTCAAAGTCGGATTTTGTGCCTCATCAGTTTCCATAGGCTTCTACAATCTCCATAAATACGTCATCTCGCCAGTCCACTCTCTATCTCTCTCTTTTTAATTTGAATTCTTTCTTGCTATATGTGAAATAAATAAACACAGATTGACAAATACTGATTGCATCATTATCAGAGCTTAAAATTTTGGATTTTGCTTATTTAATAGTTTGCACATTCATAGTTTTAGATAAGTCATTGTTTGGGAAGTTTCAATCACAAAACCTAGATAATTAAGGCAATTATTATTTCTTCTTCAATCAATTTTGAAGAGGCAACCCTTAGATGCAATTCTTAGTTTTTTTTAGAATTCTATTAATTTTTCCTTGGAGTCCTGGTTTGGTATGGTGGGTTAATGCATTGGACTGCAAAGTCAGTTTGAACCGCAAGGTAGGTGGTTCAAGCTCACCAGCCGCTCCCTGTAAACCCTATACTGTATCACTGTGGGTCAGAACCAACTTGATGGCTCTAAACAACAGCAACTATTTTCCCCTCCATTTCTACATTTCCCTTTTATTTCCTTTTAATGTTTTTCTTTACCTTTCTAGTGCTTTGGTTTCCCCTCCGGAAATAAGAGTCCCATGTAAAATGCACATTCCTAATCTCTTTTGTAGTTGTTCATTATGTAATAGGCCAGGTTCCAAGAGAGTCTTATCCCTACATTCTCATATTTACCCATTGCCATTGAGTCAATGCTGACTCATAATGATCCAAAAGGCAGAGTAAAACTGTTCCATGGTGTTTCTTTACAGGAGTACACCATCACATCTTTCTCCTACAGAGTGAAGAGTGACTGTTGCCATCAAATCGGTTCCTACTCCTAGTGACCATGTATGGGGTTTTTGAGGAGTAGCTGGTGAGCTTGAACCACTGACCTTGCAATTCAAACCAATCTTGCAGTCCATCACATTAACCCTCAGTGCCACACCAGGACTATGAAGGGTGGCTGGTGGTGGTTATGTGCCGTGGAGTCGGTTCCGACCCTGTATAGGAATAGGGTTTCTGAGGCTGCAACTCTTTACAGGAGCAGAAAGCCTCATCTTTCTCCCATGGAACAGCTGGTAGTTTTGAACTGCCAACCTTGAGGTTCACAGCCCGATTTGTAACCTCTATGCTACCAGAGCTCCTTGCAAAGAATGGCTTGTGGGTTTGAAATGGCGACCTTTCAGTTAGCAGACAAGCATTTAACTACAGTGCTACCAGGATTCTTCATCCTCATATATAGGCACATACATTTTTACAAGGGCACTTTGAGAAGCCTGTAAAAGCTTTAATTATTTGTCACCTGTCATTTGTGCTCCTTTTGAGATAAAATGCCCATATTCAGTCATTTCACAGCCTTAGTTCATGTATTCATGTGCTAGTCAAATACTTGAGGCTACAAGAAACAGTTTAGTTCAAGCAGAAAAAAGCGTCCAGGTTGGCTGGTGCATGTAAATTTTTATTATTAAAAAATTTAAACAGTTTTGTTATTTAAAAACTTGCCAGTCACCTGAAATCACACCTGTGTGTGTTAGCAGAGGAAATGGGGTTACTCAACTCCTCTAAAACATGCCCTGTTGCAGAGGCAGTGTGTGGTGTTCGGTTATTTCTACTAATAAGTTTTTCTCTTGTCCTTTTACTACATTGTGTCCTTTGTCTCCTCAACCCAAATTCCTTTAACCTTTAAGTGCTCCCTAGGGAAGATCCTGAACCCTCCTAATCAGGTAGCATTGTTTGGGTCTTTTTCTTCTCGAACACCAAGAACAGGAGAAATAATCAGTTTAGTTCCAGATAAGGCAAATCACTGCTATAAAATCACTAAATTAGACACGGCCTTTCAGGTAAGTTGCTGGGAAAAATACGTGGTCAGAGGCGCAAAGGGGACTCCAGCTCTGTGAGGATAAGGACCCTGGGTTTGCTGAATCTTACAAACCAAGGGGAATCTCCTGTGCTGAGCCAGTGGCAATCAGTCAGTGACAATCAGTGTGGAGCAGGACATAGGGACTAGTGAGCTGATTGGATGCAGACTGATGGCGGTGGTTTCTGGACAGTTCCAAGAGGCGGATGGTGCCACTGTTGATGTCATCAGCCTGAGAGAAAAGCATTAGTACAGGGTCACTTAGGGCAGCAGGGTGAGTAGAGCGGACACTGGAACACAAGCACTGCTGTTTTATTCTTTCCTCTCCTCCTCCCAGCCCCATCCTTTTCACTCAGAAATGTTCTTTGTCAGCATGGGTGACTGCCCTTTAGCACCTTCCCCAGAGATATGCACACACACAAACATATATATATATATTTGTTGTTGTTAAGTGCCATTGAGTCAGTTCTGACACATAGTGACCCTGTCTAGGGTTGCCGAAGAGTGGCTGTTGGGTTTGAACTGAGGACTTTGTGGTTCAAACTGACCTTTCAAAGGTCCAGTACTTATCCTACAGCACCACACCAGGACTCCATGTGTGTTGTTCTTGCTAAGTGCCAACAAGTTGATTCCAGCTCATAACAACTATTGAGTTTGAACTACCAATCTTGCAATTAGCTATCCTGTGCTTATCTCACAGCACTAAATAGTTTCCATAGATACATATATATGGAGCTCTGGTAGCGTAGTGGAATCGGGCTGCAAACCACAAGGTCGGCAGTTTGAAACTACCAGCTGCCCCGCGGGAGAAAGATGCGGCTTTAAAGATTTACAGCCTCGGAAACCCTGTACAAGGTGGCTATGAGTCAGAACCGACTCCACGGCACATAACAACAGCAACAAATATATATGTACATATAGTCTTGGTGTGGTGCTGTAGGTTAATGAGCTTGACTGCAAAGTGCCTTTGAACGGCAAGGTGGGCAGTTCACACTCACAAACTGCTCCTCAGAAACCCTATACAGGATTGCTATGGGCCATAACCAACTCAACAGCACTTAACTATATATAT